TTTTCGCAACATTCCATTCCGCCTGAAATTTATTACTTAATGCATTACAATAAAGGTAATTCGATTTTTTTATTGCCAGTACGATATTGCGCAGAATTCGGCAAGTGAAGATGTTTATGACTCCTGGTAAATATCGATGATGCAAATAATTGTAGGTTTGAAATTCTATTAGAATTTGTTTGATATTTCGCTTGCTTATATTTGCGCAAGGTGGATAAAAGGGTTCACTAACCAGGACATTGCCTTTTTATATAATTTGCAGGATCGATTTTGGAATACGCTTTTTGGGGGAAAATTACGTTCATCACGAAAATCTGATCAACGGACTTCCCTTAATATAACAATAAAAGAATTTAACGCTATCCATATGTAAAGATCATCAAGGGGTCCTTTTACAATAATATATGTAATAATTTTGAGAATATGCGAGAAAGTTTGAGAATAAAAGTCCCTGGATCTTCGCCGACGATCTTACAGTCTAATGCTAGCCGAGCAAATTAACCTGTATTAGAATGCACTATTAGCGGGTGATCAGTCAAAGGCGTTTCACCAAAAATTTAGCATATATATTTACTGGACAAATAAACACACAGATGGTTTATGAAGTTTATTATTTGCAATACATTGAGCCTGGCCCTAAAGGGACCGCTAAAAATAAATTACATGATGCTGGATACATGGCGTCTATACTAATGTCTGCAGACTAAAATACATGCGAAGTGGCTTACGGTTGATTATTTTTGAAATACCCTGGAATGAAAAGATATTAGTTAGGTATTTATTAGTTTACAGCTTTGAAGACGCTTCCTTGCAAATGTACTGCCACAACCGAGCGAAATAAGTATTCCCACCTTAATTTCGCAATATCTTGTCCGGATCTTCGTCTCCAGTTTTTTTCGCCGGCACTTCTTCACACTGCGATATCGTGAGTATGCTGGTCCTATTGTAAGGCTTCAGAAGAAATGATTTAACGTTCGGTTTTTGTTAGAAAAAAAAATACGAATAAAGTGCCTTATATGGGGAAATCTTACGTCGCACGGCCCCTATTCTTCGGCAAGAATTTTACCGAATATCTTCTGCGCATTTCAGGTGATCGATCTCACGGGTGTATAATATATTCACATCTGTTTATTTGTCTCATAATAAGAATGAGATTCACTATTTCAGGACCTTCAATGATTTCACCCGGCATGATCTGAAAAGGCGGTTAAGAAAGTTTTATACATAAGAGAATCATCATTATCCGATGTATCAAATAAATGTAATATATGAACAAATTTATTATTTATTCTAATGCATTATATACAACCTACACCAATACGTATGTAAAAATATATGCGGTACTAAAGATAATTTCCCTAACTATGGGTGAAACTTTATTGGTATTACAGAAGCGAAAAATATACCATGGATAATCCTACAAGGACAAAACCCTAACTTAATCAACAAATATTTTACTATCTCCTATGATATGGGGGTTACCATCCGTAGTCATTTCCTTCTTCCTGTGCTTTATGAACTCTCTCAAATGCACTGGTATCAACTCCCCTATTGTGAAGTTCAATGAATTGAACCGCCTCCTGATTGTCTATTCCAATTGAGTACTTCGTTTCTTCTTTGTTTTGAACAGTAAAGTGAGCATGTCGATTAACAGAATGATTTCCTGAGGATGGATCATAGTTAGAAATAACATGAACCGTTAAATGAGCTTCATTCGAGTTTGCATCTTCGGGATAGCAAATTTTTTCTTCAACTTTCCGTATCACTCCATTAGGAGTTACTTCAGTGAATGTTTGACCTTTGGACCACAATTTCCCTTCATCAAGTTCTTTGTTTAGAGCTTCCTCCGCCTCCTTATTCATTTCACCATCTCTATATTCATGCCATTCATCCTTTAAGCCATGGTCACTATGACCTACTGGATTATCTCGTATATATGTATTCCTTTCTGGTTTATAACCAAGAACTGGACTAAAATGTTTGTTAATATTGTTTTCGCTTGTTATAATTTATTATCTTTTTTTCGACCTTTTTATCTAGGTATTTATATTTTAAAAAAAAATTGTTGCACATATTGATTACTTTCTATATCTGTAAATGAAATCTTATCAATGATGATTTTCTAAATCCGTAAATGAAATCTCAATCAGTTTTATCAATGATAATTCTAAATCCGTAAATGAAATCTATCAAAAGAAACACCAGCATCATATGGTATCAAACATCTCTACACAATGGTTATTTTTTTTTGGCATGCACTTACATACATTGTGTTGAAAAAAAATCACAAACATGTGTATAATATGAAAAATCTTTACTATTATGTAGCATGACACAAAAAATAGATCTGTACAAAATGCCTTGCAGTTAAGTTAAGCATATGCTATAATTGCGAATTTGAATTTATTGCTTGAAGTGAAGCAAGTAAGACAATATTCTGTTTCATTTTTATACCATGAGCCATGTAATCCATAATTCCCATGTTTTCCATCGCAAATAGAGCATGGCGAGCTCCATGGCTGAGGTGATGTAAAATTATAATTATCAATCCCTCTGAAATTATTTCAGAATTTCAAGTATGAGAAGTACTCTAAGACAGATTTGATAATTAATTCTGGATCAGGTTTGGCTTCGAAAGTGATAGACCCTTTTTCTTTATATTGTTCAGCAAAAGATAAATAGGATGCTTTGTTTTCTGGCTTCGAATTTATGAGAAGGTGATCTTCTGATGCATGCGTTTCTGATAATTGCCATGGTTCATACCCAGTTTCTTTTTTATATTTTTTGTATAAGCTGAACTGAATCTTATCTGTCAAAACGCATGGTAAACCAGTTAATTTAGCCCTATAAAAAAAATAAAAATATCACAGTGAAGTGTGAGAAAATGTAGTATTATAAAATAATGAGACTATGCAGTTATCTCAATTTTACGCTGTTCACATTTAATAAAGTAAGATTCAGATTTATACCTACCTTCTATGCTTTCCTCATTAAAAATGGTCCCTATAATTATTTTCAAATTTCAATTGAGTTGCAACTCAATTGCGCCATTTTTTTCAATTGTGATGACCATCTTTATTCCTTATCATCATGATCTAAACTGCATAACGGGCATAATGTCTCGTCAGTAATGCCATAATAATCGAAATTTTTACTACTAAATTCCCTACATAAATTAGGATATTAATCCAATGTCTTGTTTCTAAAATAGGATCAGTCATAAGTTGGATTAGTTCTATTTGCTTGAGATGAAATTATTTCTGCTGAAGTCATATGACTCCGATCGTTACTATTGGTAACAGTTTTTAAAATTACATGAACCCGATCATTCACATAATCTATAATATTTTTTTTTTTTAACGATGTGACACTGCAAATAACTTTATTAAATTTATATAGAAGAAATACAAAGTAAATCAATAAATCTAGACTAAGTACTAGCTATCTCCCGTAGTTATATTACAAATCCGTTTGAATTGACCGATTATCGTCTTCCCCTTCTAACAAATCCACTAAGTATATGCCTAATGAAGATTGCTATCAACAAGAGAAAAAAAAGAAGGAGTCAGTGCCTATCTAAAAATCTGTAAAAGTGTAGTTAAATTTATTCGCCTTGTGTATCCAAGATTCCCAATTATGTGTAGGACTTGATGTTTCTTCATGTCTTAAGAATGAACTGGCACTTCGTTTAGTCTTATCTTTGATTGTGATGCTTAATAAACATTCTTTTGCTTTCATTAGATTACAACGGTGTTTCCAAACATCCTCAAATAATTTTTGATGAAAAATTATCAAGGTTTGAGTGATGGTTAAGAAACATTGACCCTTATTTCTGGTGATTTTATGAACTATGTCTATTAAAGAGGAAGGAATGAGAGAATGGATAATATTGATGTAACCATTTGTTCTAGACGAGGGAGTAGCAAGGATGTCATTTAGAATATCTAGTAATTCTAGAAAAAACTCAGTAAGTTTAGATATATTTAATTCTGTGAGGCGATAGAGTAACTCATCTTTGGTAGCTTGAATAACATTTTGTAATCTTGTAGTATAGGCAGGACAGGTCCAGAGGTGTTCAGAAGTTTCTGTACCCAGTTCACAGCCAACACAACACCAATATTCATACAAATCAGGTCTTAGTATAGATAATCTTGAAAGGGTTGGTAGTTCATTCACAAAGTTTTTTATAATGAAGGTCTTAAGTTTATATGAGGCAAATGAAGTAGTGAGTGAGGATGAATCTAGGGAGAATAAAGACCAAATAGCAGGCCAACTGATAGAGTGGTTTCTGGTAAGATGTCTGATATGACCATTTTTATTTAGATCAAGAAAGTTGCAGAAAGTCTTGGTAGAAAAAATTTTTTGAAGAAACTTCTAATAGATATTTCAATTGATACGTTATTAAAAGTAAAGATAAGTTCAGATAAGGGAATGTTATTCAATACTGGAATAATAGGATAGGCGTTACATCTGGCTTTGGCTAGTTAGTCTGCGATATCATTAAAGTGATCACTGGTATGTGCTTTGACTTTATAAAATTGTATATTAAGCTTCATTATATCCACTGTATGTTTAATAAGACGCCAAATAGAGTGGTTGGGTATCTTCTCAAATTTTCTGAGAGAAAGGTCATTGTTTAAAACATATTTGGAGAATCCTTGGATTGTAGCTTGACTGTCTGAAAAAATGTTGACAAAAGAAGACTGTGGTGACACTAAAAAAGCTGTAAGAAGGGCATATATTTCAGCACGTGTTGATGAAGACCAGTTCATCAGCGAAGCTTTGAATATGTGATGATTATTGGATGAATCAATACAAATCCATCCTAGTCCCATTTTGCATGATTCTGTTCTTGGGGAAACTAAAGAACCATCAGTATAAAATGTCAGAGATGTATCGTCGGCGAGTATCATTCGTAGGGATTTAAGCTCATTTAATGTTGAGGAAGGGAGAAATAATGTGTCAATTAAGTTGTTTGATGGTAGGTCAAGAGGTTGTTGCTCAAAATAGAAGGTGAAGTAAGAAAGATAAGCTACCTTTGAGATTTCAGCAGGTGACTGTTATAATTGATTTTTAAGTGTGTGAGATTGCTTTTGAAATAAATCAACTTTAAAGACTCTATTTGTGAAAATCGTGAATGTACAAGTGCCAAAACGGATGTTGGCAGAAAAAAGATTGTAACCAGTACATTTGAAAAGTTGGCTGATATTATCATTATTTGTAGAACATACAAAGTGTTGACAAACAAATTAATTATCAGTTGGATTTTTGATAATAATTTGCCCAAATGAGGGATTATTGATTGTTGGATTCCATGAGGCGATAAATTCCTTTTTACAATCATTTGAGAGAGGTAAATTAGTTACAAAGCCATATCGTGGTAAAGGAGAAGTTAATCTAAATTCTGGTTTGAGAAGTCGTTGAATATTGTCTTTTAAAACAATGTCTGCTAATTTTTTGAACAGGGTTTGTGATCTAAAGTATTTAGAGTAATGTTTAAAGTCTCTAAGTAGAAAATCAGCTTTTATGATCAGCTGGTAGCCTGAAGTAGAGATTAGTTAATCTAAATAAACTAGATTGTAATTAGTCAAAATCTTTTTAAATGACATGTAAAGTCTGTGAGGGAAAAGTTTTGTGAAAAAATAAGATCCTCCTTTGACTTGATTAGTAAGAAATGGAGAAGCAATGAGTGAAAATTTAGACGAAGTGGATTTGATAAGTGATAAGGAGGTGCCTATAAGATTTTTATAAGAAAGTCTATCAAATGGTCATGACCAAAAGTCAAGGGGAGAGATGGTAAGGAAATGTTGAGATTGGAGTTGAAAGAGTCTTATAACAGAAACATTTTTGTAAGTGGTAGAGTTAGTGAACTAATATAAAAGAGCGGTAGAGAGAGATTTAATTTGTAATGACTAAAGATCATTCAAATTATAGAATTGTTTGAAATTTAAAAGAACATTTGGGAGAGTAGATGCAAATTTGTTCTTTTTCTTGATAATGAACACACAGATGCAAAGAACATCATACATTCTTGTTGAGATAAGGGTGTTAGTTGCATTCGATATTTCAATAGCGGACAAAGTATTATGTTGATGATGTATGAGATTTGTTTATCAGTTAAGGATTTGTAACGCATTAAGGAAACAAAATGATTTATATCGAAAGTAAATTATTGTTTGAC